TTGCCGGACAAAAAAAAAAAAAAAAAAAAAAAAAAAAAAAAAAACCATCGCTGGAGGAGCCTGAAGGCTGTGAGATTTCAGGACTCATTGACCCCATGTCTCTCAGAGGCCTCTCCAAACCTCAGGTTCTACTTCCTAGGGGCCAGTCCCGTTTTCCTGTCTCAATGATTTGTCATTCCCCGAGTGCCTCTTGAGTAGAATCTCGTTAGCACATGCTGGGTGCCCTAGTACGTGGTTGGCCCACACAAACCTTGTCCCTGTCCAAGCCTCATCCCAATAGTCTAGTAGCCCCAGCGCCCTGTGTGGCCTCTGTGTTAGTTATAAAAGATGTAACACCCTCAGAGATCCACACACAAGCTAACACACATGCAGAAGGAATTGTGGAAGATTTGCCCAGAGGCCCTGGGCCCTGCATTACATTAATCCACAGAGTTTTGGTCTCTCCTCTCAAAGATGCAAACTGCTTCCTCCAAATTTTACCCAGAGGCCCACAACAGTTTTAGAAGCCCTGGGCAAGGATTTTTCTGATAAAATGCCAACCTTAGATCAACCGTCAGGAAGTCCTTTCTTATACCTAACCTATTGTGAGAAACCTCCTTCCAGAGCAGCTGCAAGGTTTGTATTGGAAAAAGTCTTGAGCCAGGAGACTTGAGGTGGGGGCTGCAGCGGAGCCCCTCACATTTAGGGGCAGGTTTGGGCAAATAGGAAGGGCGAGCTCTGGTTCCTCACTGGAAAAATTGGGGTTCCTGCTGCACAGAGCACAAGTCATCCAGCCACATGCTCCCCAGGGCATCTGGTAGCAGAGTCCAAGGGGGGTTCTCCTGGGTGACCTAACAGCAATCACAACAATGACATCAGGGATCCTAGTGCTCAACCCACGCCAGGCATTGTTGTGAATTAATTGCCTCCTTAATCCTCACAACAGCCCCACCAGGCAGGAACCATAATTATTCCCATTTTACGGATAAGGAAACCAACCCAGAGATGTTAGGCAACAAAGTCGCACAGGCAGCGCTGGCAGATCCGGGCTGGGGACCAGGTGAAATCCAAATGCCACCGTCTAATTGGTGTCTTCCTCTCCCTAGGAAGTGCTGATCTTGGCCTGGTGCCAGTGGAGGGTTGTACTTTATATTTCTAACTTTTCTGCTGTGGCCATGTATTAATTTAAAACTTATTAAAATAATTTTTTAAAGAGAAAAAGCCATTCTGGTGAATGAGGGCAAGGGAACTACCGGGGTCCCCGGCCTTTGCCCACTTGCCCCGCCGCCCTCTTAGGGGCTGCCACGGGAGACCCAGCCGCCCGGTGACCCAGCCGCCGCGCTCGCGGGGTGGAGGCGAGGGGAGGACGAGGCCCGGCGTGAGTCCGGCCCGGCAGGCCCGCTCGCGGCCTTACCTTGTTGGCCCACTCGACCCGCTCCACGTCCGGGAAGTGGATCTAGGGAACAGAAGCCCCGAAAGGGAAGTTAGACTCGAGCCGCACGGCCCCGGAACGCAGCAGCTGCAGCCCCTGTCCCCGGCTCGTCCTCCCCGCCCGCCTGAGCCGGTCACCCACGTGCTCAGCACCCACTCTGGCGACTCAGAGCCGGCCCTGCCCGCAAGGAGCGCCCCGTCCTGCGGTGCAGACGGCACCCAGCGCCACCCGGCACCCGGCACGCGCGACTCAGCCCTGAGTCAGCTGCTGGGCCGGAGGCCCGCGTGGATGGGTCCGGGCCTGAGGCTGGGACACCGCAGTTAGGGACTAGACGGAGGGGCGGGGGAGGCCCCGAGGGGCGCCCAACCAGCTGTTTACATATGCAAATAAGCCCCGCCTTCCCTGCGGAAGCACGGGCCCTCCAGGAGAACACCTGAGTTTGCAGCTTGCAAATTCTGTCCCCCTTATTAATTTTAATGACACAAGTAATACATAGACTCTGTAGAAAAATTAGAAAATGCACAAATTAGCTAAGCAAAAAGAAAAAATATTTTATCAGGGAATTCCACCACCCAGTGATAAACCCAGGTTGATGATTTCACTGGCGATGGGTTTGGGGGGCTGTGGGGCACCCACCCTCCTCTCTTCCACCTTTGCTCACAGGAGCCCCACCTGAACATTCCCCCTTCCTCAGCAAGGAGGCTCCTCAGGCCCTGTCCCAGAGTCACATGACTTCCTCTAGGTCACAACCTCCAGCCCCTGCACCTGCTGGGTGAGTCCTGGTGAGCCACAGTGGGGCAGGGGAAGCAGGGCCTGGATGGAATAGGGTGAGGGACAGGACACGATACTAAGAGCGCTTTACCCCTCCCTGCAGGACGTGGTCTCTGCATCTGCCTGCTGAGCATTGCACTTCCCCTGAGGTTTTCTGCGAGGAAAAGGGGGTAAGTAAGAGTGTGTGTACAGGGCATTTGGCACAAAATGTGGATCATTAAAATGGCAGCAGCAGCCATCACTGCCGCCATGCCCCAAGTCCCCTGAGTATGGGGCCAGCTTGGGATCAGATTCACAGTGCGCCTGGGACCACATAAGGCGGGGAAAGGAACTGCTATCCCCATCTGGGGGCTCGGAAGGCTCACTGTCCGGGACTGAGTGGTTGTGTCCATACAGTTCACACCCACCAAGTCCCAGGCCCTGGGCTAGCTTGGGGTTGCCC